CAGTTGAAAGTCAACTGATTTTTCGTAGGAGTATGTTGTCTCCATCTTCAAAATCGAACAATAAGTCAAGCAAGAAACCAGCTTGAAGCAGAGAGCTCCATAAAAGTCATTTTAAGAACCTCATATCCTTCACGGAAATTTGCTAATAATAATAATTTCATTAACCCAAATCAAAGTTATAATTGATAAGCGATAAAAGTAAATTATATATATATATATTTACAATGAATACAAATATTACTTGAATAATTAGGAGAAGCATGGCTAGCATAAAATATTACATCAACAAAGAATTAAAGTTTTAAATGTGCCAAAATAATTCATTCCAATTCAATTCCTTATTATCATTTGTGTGCTGAACTAACAGCCGCAAGGCCAATTACGGACACAGAACAGTGTAGATAAAAGTAGTTACATACTGGACAAACACAACATAAAGTCAAAGACTAATTAAAGATAAATAATAATAATAATAATAACTAAATTTCAATTCAATTCGTGTTTATTTAATAATAATAATAGCAAGAAAGTACCAATAATAATTCTATGCAATTATTTATTTATTTACATGTTTACACAACTTCCTGAAGGCCAATTATAAAATAAGCACCAGCAAAATATTCAAAAACATGTACGCAATTAAGAAAAAAGCAAGACAGCTGGGACAGTAATGAAAGCTCAATAAGTTAATCGCTTCAGCCGTTATGATGCGAGAATATAACGAATATACGTACGTCAATAATAATCATAACAATAACAGCAATAGAAAACAGGTGGCGGACTGCAATTGTAGACCTATGAGAACGACAGTAACAAAATGAATTTCAAGAAGAGATTAATGGCAGATTTATATTTGAAATCCATGTGTTTATAATCAGTTAACAAACCGTTCTGTCAGTCAGTAAATTTGTGAGTTTGTCGGTGAACTTGTGAGACAGTCTGCCATTCACTTATCCCGTCAAGTAGTTTATTATTTAGTTAGTTCTCGAATTATGCTCTCAGACAATTTGTGAGTCACTGAGTGAAGTAGTGAGTTATTTTGCTATTCACTTATTATTATTATTCTTAGTGGGGTGGGACTAAGTCCCTTGTACTGCGGCCACTTCTGGCCTATTGCATCAGCCCCAGATGATAGGTGAGGGTGATTGTGGAGCAATTGGTGGATTGAATATTGTCAAGGGAAATTGAAGTACTCGGAGGAAACCTGTCCTAGTGCTACTTTGTCCACCACAAATCCCACATGAGAAGGCCCGGGCTCCAACCCCGGCCGCCACCGTGGGAAGCCAGAGACTAAATGCCTGAGCTATGGCGCGGCCTTTGCCATTCACATAGTACGTCACTTAGTGGCTTAAATCGTCACTTAGTGTGTTATTCAGCAAATTGACGAATTATTCTCTCAGAAAATTTGCGGGTCAGTCTGACATTCACTTAACCCGTCAGGTAGTACGTTATTCAGAAAGATGACGAATAATTTCATCACTCAGTCAACAAATAACTTGCGATCGAGTCTTATTGCTCTCGTTTGCATGTGGCAGAGTGCAGCCCGCTGCCGAAGGATGACGGGGGATACTGGTCGCCGGCTACATGCAGCTCCGGTTTCAACAAGCAAGGCGCAACTTGCAAGCTGGAATGTGATCAGGACCATGTCCTGAGGGGCAGCGCTTCCGTTCAGTGCACGGAGAGCGGCTGGAACAGCTCCAATGGGAACTTCATACCGAGATGCGAACGTGAGTACCGGCTATATGTGTTCAGCGCCCGGCTTCTTTGACCCGCTTTCATATTATCAACTGCCGAAACAACATGGCTACGGGAACAGTGTCGTCTGTTGAAAAAGCAACGAACTCCTGTGACATAAGACGCAATAGACACATAGGAAGACGTGTACCAGATGAGAAGTAAACTAGTGTTTCTTTTTTCCTTGACACTACAGCTCCAGTGGGCCTAGGCCTACCTCCATGAATTTCTCCGTTCACTTCGGTTTTTCTAGATCTTACACATTCGGTAGGACTCCTTGGGCGAGTGATCAGCTCGTCGCAAGGCCTCTACCTGTACACAAACACAGAATAACGCACACACACAAACTAAACATCCATGCAATGAGTGGGATTCGAACCCACGATCCCGGTTTCCAAGCGAGCGAAAACAGTGCATGCCTTAGACCGCTCGGCTACCGAAACCGGCGAAACATGTATATTATATGTTGTGACGGATCAAGATGCATGTAGTAAAAGNTGGTACGTCGACTATTAACTGCCCTATTTTACCCGCCCCGGATAATAGATGATGAATATGGAGCGGTCAGTGGAATGAGAATTGGCAGGGGAAACCGAAGTACTCGAAGAAAACCTGTCCTAGTGCTACTTTGTCCACCACAAATCCCGCATGAGCAGACCCGGGCTCGAACCCGGGCCGCCACCGTGGGAAGCCAGAGACTAACTGCCTGAGCTATGGCGCGGTCTTTGCCATTCACTTAGTACGTCACTTAGTGGCTTAAATCGTCACTTAGTGTGTTATTCAGCAAACTGACGAATTATTCTCTCAGAAAATTTGCGGGCCAGTCTNACACGTGATATTTTTTTGCGGAACTCGAGGCACATCAAGAAACTTTGTCCCGATATAGAATGCCCCAACATTTATGCCCCAGTGCATACAGGCCTTTACACACCCGAGAGGGGTGCCCACATTATAGCGTAGGTCTCCGGCATTCTTTTCTCATGCCGAATTGCGCGACATCTTAGGACATGACCGCCATAATGTATGTAATGTCGTGACATACTTAGGTGCCATAACTATCGGCAGGTTCATGCAATCGCCTCGACTTTAGTCTCATGTTTCAGCCATGTAATGTTCCTTGTTCTTCTGAGATCTCACTAACCCATATTAAAATGGGAAACACAATAGATCACTGTAGGTCGCGGTGGACGGGCCGAGAAGGCCCACCCCTTATACATTCATTCATTCAACCCATGTTATTATTTTATTAGCCCAATATTATATTCTTTACAGTTGTTTTCACAGACAGTCAAACCACTCCGGCTCGACACGTGTTTAATTTTTATCTAGTTTTATACCGGGTTTAACGTATGACATTGAAGTTGATTGTACTTGTACCTTGGCTAACACAGCCATATGCACTAAAGCGACTATTTACTCCGTCAGCTTGTTACTGATACAGTGGCGTAGTTAAAGAGAAATCGGTTTGAATTTAGGCTTGTTCACGCCTATAATGCCCACAGTTTTTCGTGGCTTTCCACTCATTCTAGGCGAATGACGGATTGATATCTATGTAGGATACGCCCGCCTTCTTCAGAACCCCAATTTGAAATTCACTGATAGTTTTACAATCTCATTCGGTGATCTGAAACATCTGCAGCTGAAATACCGGCATACAATAGCTTAAGAACCATCAAACCTTCTGATCTCGTATGATGTTATAACACCTCTGTAGCAAGGTAGCATGGCGAAATAAACTAACGAATGATACTAATCCTGAATGTCTTTAACAAATGTATACCTAGCTCAGTAACTAGTCCCCTTGTACTAGTAATTTTGAGGCCCTAGAAAGGTGTTTCAGCTTTCACGTATTTGACTCGCAGATGCAGAATTCCTTGAGAGCAGTTAAATGTAAGTTAATATGGATTTTCCTCTTGGTATTCACAACACTTAATTATACGGAATTACTGTGTTCTTGGACTTTTTCCATCGCCCGGAATTCTAAGTATTAGATGACACGACGTTTCAGAAACTGGATCTGTTTCCATCTTCAGGTGAGGAAGGAAGACACTTACTCAGTTGGGCCCCTTAGAAAAAGTTAATCTCAGTCAGTGGGCCACTGTAATCCTGAAATTGCTAAGCCCGTACATGCAACACACTGGGCACTGTGTTGCAGGCTGTCGGACGACCGCTCTGCAGGAGTGATCACATTCGACTCGAGCGCTCTCTTACAGATTCACCTGAACGAGAATTCGACGTCACGTTTTATTACCAAATTGAACTCTATACCGTACAGAGGCGGTGGCACCGACATCCTCAACGCATTGAGAGCAGCAATTAATGAAATCAAAACCTACAAAGTGCACCCTCTGACGCTTGTCTGTGAGTACCTGTGTTACTGTGCCCCAACATTTAGGGGAACGGAGGGGGGAGGCGATCTGACATAAATTCAGAGGGCAATTGTCTTGAATTTCGTATAATTATAAAGTGCCCAAGGAGATATTTGGACACTAGAGATGGTATTATTGGTAATTGAGACTATTACACGAGGAGGATTTTCGTGAGATTCGTAGATAAATAAGTAATTTTACGGTAGGGAAATAAGGAGTTAGAGAGAGAACTAGGAGGGTAAATGAAGGAAATGAACTCAGAATTATCTTGAGGGACTCGATTAGAATTCGACTAAATGAATGACCGAGTATAAAATGGGAGAATATCATTGCTCATGAACTTAATTACCGAAATGTAATTGTTTCTTGCATCCTGTTGTGTATTTAATCAATATTAGAGTCAATTTTACCGACCACACAACATATTTTTATTATTATTATTACACTACATGTTTCGACCTCGAGAGGTCGA